GTCCCGCATTCCTCTGTGCGGGTGGTGCAGCTGCAGATATCTGTGCGGGTCCCGCATTCCTCTGTGCGGTGGTGCGGCTGCAGGTATCTGTGCGGGTCCCGCATTCCTCTGCGGTTGGTGCGGCTGCAGGTATCTGTGAGAATCCCAGCAGCGGCACCACCCGCACAGATGCGAACCCAGCCTTACCCTCGGTTCACATCTAAGCGTTTTCCGCAGCATTTTGCGGAAACGCACTACAGTCCATTTAAACATGATTTCCTATGGGACAGGTTCACATCTACGTGTTTTCACCCGGTGCGTTTTTTTGGACAGGGCCAGGGACTTTAAAAAAAAATGCACAAAGTTGCGTTTTTGGCTCTATAGACTTTAATGGAAATGCTGCAGAAGAGCGCGTAGTGCATTTTTGCCGTGTTTTGCGTTTTAAATCAGCCTAGCAAAAAAAAAAAAAAAAAAAAAAAAAACCCCAAAAAAAACAAAAAAAAAAAAAACAAAAAAAAAAAAAAAAAACAAACAAAATAACCCCACAACACAACAAAAAACACAATGCAGAAATGGATCAAAAAAACGCACTGCATAGCTGTGAACCTAGCCTTAGATGCGATTTCAATTCACAAATCGCACCGGCACTAAGTATTTGGCCTCTGCATGGAGTCTGTACTTTTTCTGTGAGTTTGTGAGGATTTCCTTCCAAGAACATTCCAACAGTTTAATGATGAATAGTCATTTTTTTGGACTTTGCGTCCCCCCAGTGTTGTGTTGAGAAGTATGTGCTCTGGCATTGTACAGGAGGTGGGGGGGGGGGGGGGGGGGGTTGTACTTCCGCTCATTGACCTTCCTTCCTGGCCTCCATGCATGGATAAGGGTCTGGTGGGGGTTTTAGGGGGAACCTTTTGCTGGTTTTCCTCTGGAAGTCGGAGTTTAGACTTGCTTTGGCCCACTTGGAGGAGTTTTTTGTTGACCATCAGACATACAATGCCTCCAATCTGTGAAAGCTCCTACAATGAACAGAAGAATGACTTCATGCGATTTCAGATGGACTTGGCTGGAGTCGCACCTTCTGATCGTGTTCTGGGAGATGAGGTTATTGTGGCCGGGCCCTGCCATTGACTTTCCAGCCCTCGCCCTTCCAGCCTGAGCTGTGCCGGGACTATTCTTATGTTGGCAGTGAAGAGAGAATAAATAAAAAAATTATTAAAAAGGATAGAATGGATGTTTTGTGTTTTAGTGAATGTTGGAGAGTAAAACCCCCAGATAGTTTCTTCTGTCTCTCAGGGACTGTATTGGTGAGATCCCTTTTTTGAGTTCTTGGGTCTGTACACCTGCTGTGCCCGTTATGAGGGGTTCCCACCATCCCTGTGCTGAATTCCCAGGTCTGTACAGTTGTTGTGTCCATTATGAGGGTTCCCACTATCCCTGTCCATTAAGCCCCACTATCCCTGTGCCGAGTTACCGGGTCTGTACCCCTGCTTCACCCATTATGAGGGGTTCTCACCATCCCTTTGCTGAGTTCCCAGGTCTGTACACCCGCTGTGCCCATTATGAGGGGTTTCCCACATCTGCACACCTGCTGTGCCATTATGAGGCATTTCCACCATCCCTGTGCTGAGTTCCCGGGTCTGTACACCTGCTGTGCCTATTATAAAGGGTTCTCACCATCCCTGTGCTGAGTTCCTGGGTCTGTACGCCTGCTGTGTCTATTATAAGGGGTTCCCACCATCCCTGTGCTGAGTTCCCGGGTCTGTACGCCTGCTGTGCCCATTAGGCAGGGTTCCCACCATCCCTGTGCCGAATTCCCAGGTCTGTACGCCTGCTGTGCCCATTAGGAAGGGTTTCCCATCATCCTCACATGGAGTTACCAGATTTGCAAACCTGCTGTGTCCATTACGACAGGTTCTCACCATTCCTGTACAGAGTTCCTGTGTTTGTACCACTTATGTCCAATATGAGGGACTCTTTTGGAGAGTAAAACCCCCAGATGGTTTCCTCGGTCTCTTGGGGACTGTATTGGTGAGATCACTATTCCGAGTTCCCTGATCTGTGCACCTGCTTTGCCCATTATGAGGGGTTCCCACCATCCCTGTGCTGAGTTCCCAGGTCTGTACACCCCTGTGTCCCATTAGGAAGGGTTCCCACCATCCCTGTGCTGAGTTCCCGGGTCTGTACACCCGCTGTGCCCATTAGGAAGGGTTCCCACCATCCTTACATTGAGTTACCAGGTTTTCCCAACTTGCTGCGCTCATCATGAGGGGTGCTTACCATTCCTGTTAGGAGTGCCAAGGGTTTTGCACACTTATGACTATTATGGAGGGGTTCCCACCATCCCTGTGCAGAGCTGCCAGGTCTGTCACCTGCTGTACCAATTAAAAAGGAGTTTCCACCATCCTTGCATTGAGCCCAGAAAGGTCCATCCTGGACCATTCAGTGGTGAGCGTCCTCAGGCTCTACAAACTTTGGAAACAAAGCGTCAGTTCACTGCCCTTCATATATTAGGGGGGCAGACTGTGGCCTGAGGGAGTAGACAATGCCATAGGCTTGGTGGTCAATGGGAGGAACAGGAGCCCCGGCTAATGGCGGCAGCCGGAGAAACAATACCCCAAGGGCAGGATATAGGCAAGCAAAAAAGGTAGGGTTTCCACCTCACCCCTTTAAAAACTGAACCCAATGACGGCTAGGGATGTCAATCACCGGGTCCAGGCTGGAGAAACAACACAGGTCCCTCTCCTGTCAGCAAGGACATGCTGCTTTCTCCCCTCTCTGCACAGCAAGAGTCACTGATCTCCACCATTACTAGTATAAAAAAAAAAAAAAAAAAAAAATTATATTATATATATCTCCATTTGTAGATTAACTTTCATGTAAGCCCATTAATTTACACATTTTTTTTTTTTTTTTTTTTTTTTTAGCAGAGACATGTTGCAAAATACATTTTAGCCTAAATTTATGAAGAAATTAAAATTTTTTAAATTTTTGTTCTGGGTATAGCAAAAAGTAAAATAAAAAGATAATTTTTTTTTTTTTAATATATCTAATTTTTTTTTTGATTGTCAGTCTTTTTGTTTAAAAGCGCATAAAAAAAAAAAAAAAAAAACAAAAAAAAAAAAAAAAACGTACATGTGATCAAATACCACAGAAAAGAAATCTCTATTTGTGGGAAAATAAAAAAAAAAAAAAAAAAAAAAAGTTTCAATTATGTGCAGCGTTCCATGACAGTGCAATTGTCAGTTAAAGTAACGCAGCGCCCTTTCATAAACAATGTCTTGGTCAGGAAAGGGGGGGGGGGGTGGGGGGGGGGGTAAATCCTCTGAAGGACAAGTGGTTAAAGTTTTCAGCTTGTTTTGAGTGGGTTGTGCTGGACTCCACCTGAGGAAGGAAAAATCATTAACACAGGAGAGAAGCTGAGGATTTAACCCCTTTGGAGGGAAAAAAACGCGATATTGGCACTTATATAGCACCACGTCCTACTGAACAAGGTGAGAGCACAACCGGTAATAGATTTACAAACGGGATTTTTAAAAAAAAAAGGTGGAGCACATCGGTAGATGTCAAGCTACAGTTTTGGGTGGAGGATAATGCATGGATGAAATATCACACATAGGATACACTGAGCAGAATGCTGCATGGACTGTGGACATTTCATGTTACTTGAGGCTCCGAATCACACCTATGCAGTTTGCTTTTTGTCCATTTTGCAGTGCCTTTTGCATTTTTACCGCATTTTTTTTTTTTTTTTCTTAAATTGGAATTTATTTTGCTGGGCAGAATAAAAATGCAAAATGCTGCAAAAAATGCACTACCATGAATTTCAGCAGATTCTCAATTGAACTCTATTGTAGCAAAAACGCTGCTTTTTACTTTTTAAAAAAAAAAAAAAAAAAAAAAAAGTCCCTGACCCTTTCCAAAAATGCAGAATTATGAACATGTTGCATAGGAAACCATGTGAAATGGACTGTAGTGCGTTTCTGCAGAAAAAAAAAAAAAAAAAAAATTAAAAAAAACGCATAGGTGTGAACGGAGCCTTATTGTAGAGCGCTGCACTTTTATTTTATGGAGATTGTTGTCACTTTAGTTGTGTGGTGGGCTATGGAACGAAAGGATTAGCAGGTGTGCAGCGCAGGAGAATATTAATCAAAATTTGTGTATTATTTCAGGTACTTGTATAGCGTCAATTTACGCAGCACTTAACTTTGCTGTTGGTGCCATCTTATAATAGAAACAGATTCAAGTTTGACTACTGAAATTATATATATATATATATATATTATATTTAATAAAAACAAATAGATATTTTTAAAAAAAAAAAAAAAAAAAAAAAAAAAAAAAAAAAAAAAAAAAAAAAAAAAAAAAAAAAAACCCAAAGAAGTTCTATACTAGGACCCCGACCCCCCCCCCCCCCCCAAAAAAAAAGGCGTGAAATTTTTTTTTTTGTAATCTTTAAAGAAATTACACCCGGACCCAGGTAACAAATTACAGGGTCACAAAATACAGTCGTAAGGCAGTCGGCAATGGCGGCCAAACTAGACAACCCGATCACCAAACAACAGTCAGTATGTGTACCAATGTGAGCCAGAGGAGATAAATGAATCCTCAGTTTCTATATGGCGTCAGCGTTTAGAATTTGTTTCAACTGCAGCAATAGAGGAACGCACGCTGCGTATCAGACACAATGATCGGAAGGCGTGGTAATGGCGCATCTCTGAATAATAGCCTTATGATATATATCCAGGGGCGGACTGACCATTTGGAAACTCTGGCACTGCCTGAGGGCCCGGGGTCAGTAGGGGGCCCCATGAGATGCCCCTGGTACCTTTTCCATAGGCTTTTTTGAGTTTGGGCAAGAACACAGGGGCCCCATGATTCCCCTATTGCCCGGGGGCCCCATGAGTTGTCAGTCCGCCCCTGTATGTGTGTGTGTGTGTGTATATGTATATATATTAGAAAAACCCCAAAACAAACAAACTGTGACATTAAAAGAAATACATGAAAGTGTCCTGGAGACTCACCGGTGGCTGTCAGGGCAGAGAGGACACATAGGAGGCTCAGCATAGTGGAGTCAATTGTCAGGCTGAGGATGGATGGAAGACATGTGATGGGAGTCCTACCTCAGATTTAAGGAGTGTCTACAGCAGAGGAGCACAGCCCTAATTCCTTTGCTCCCTCCTCTCCTCACTCTGTCCCTCTTCTCTCCCTGCAGTCTGTATTTATCTGTCTCCTCTCCCTGCCTTCTATCCCTCCTCCCTCTAGCATTCTATCATTCTGCAATACTCCTAATGTCATCCTCTCTCCTCCTCTCTGTGCTCTCCCTCCTCCTACTTCCTCTTACTTTCCTATAAAGAACACAAAGTTCTGAACACCAGCTGAAGGGGGGGGGGGAGACTTTTACTTTTGTCTTTGACCTTTTGTTTCTCTCTTCGTTTTCCTGTCCTCTTTTCTCAGCTCTTTTATTTCTCTTCTTCCCTGTCTTTATCTGCTTGCTCTCTTCCATTCTATCCTCTCCCTCTCCCCCCCCCCCCCCTCCTCTCTCTCTCTCCCTCTACATTCTTTACTTTCTCATCTCTCTCCTTTTTTTTTCCCTCCCTCTCTCCTATTTTTCTCCCCCTTCTTCCATATCTCTAATCTTCTTTTCTCTCTCTCCTCTTCTCTCTCTTTTTTCTCTTATATTTATCCTCCCTTTCTCTCCTCTATCTTCTTTCTCACTTTCTTTCCTTTTCTTTCTCCTCTTCCCTCCTCCTTTCTCTATCTCCTTCCTGCTGTCTTTTTTCTCTCTTCTCTCTCTTTTCTGTTTCTTCTCTCTCTATCTCTCCCCCATGTCTCTTTCTTTCTCTCCCACTTCTCTACCTCATTCTCTCCATTTCTCTCATCTCATTCACTTCCCCCTCTCTCCTCTTCCCCCCCCCCCCAACTCTCTAGCTCTATATCTCCTCTCTCTTCTCTCTCCCCCCTTCTAGCTCTGCTTTCTCCCACTCTCCAGCTCTCCTCTATCTCCTCTCTCCTTCCAGCATTCTCTCTTTCCTCCCCCCATCTCTCTCTCTATCCCCCCACCTAGCTCTCCCCTCCTTCTCTCTCTCCTCCTCTCCCACCACCTCTCCCCCCCCCTCCTCTCCCCCTCCTCCTCCCCTCCTCCTCTCCCCTCCTCTATCACTCCTCTCTTTTCTCTCTCCCCCTACTAGCTCTCTCTCTCCCCCTTCTAGTTCTCCTCTCTCTTCTCTCTTTCCTCTCTCTTCTCTTCCACCTCTCCTCTCTCTTCTCTTCCACCTCTCCTCTCTCTTCTCACCACCCCCACCAACTCCCCTCTCTCTTCTCTCCACCCCCACCAGCTCTCCTCTCTCTTCTCTCTCCCCCCCTCACCAGCTCTCCTCTCTCTTCTCTCTCCCACCCCCACCAGCTCTCCTCTCACTTCTCTCCCACCTCCACCTCTCCTCTTTCTTTTCTCTTCACCCCCACCAGCTCTCCTCTCACTTCTCTTCACCCCCACCAGCACTCCTCTCACTTCTCTTCACCCCATCAGCTCTCCTCTCACTTCTCTTCACCCCCCCCACCAGCTCTCCTCTCTCCCCCCCCCCCCAGCTCCCTCTCTCTTCTCTCTCACCCCCACCAGCTCTCCTCTCACTTCTCTCCCACCTCCACCTCTCCTCTTCTCTCCATCCCCACCAGCTGTCCTTTTTCTTCTCTCATCCATCCCGACCAGCTCTACTCTCTCTTCTGTCTCCCATCCCCACCAACTCTCCTCTCTCTTCTCTCTCCCACCCCCACCGGCTCTACTCTCTCTTCTCTCTCCCACCCCCCCTCCCTCTACTCTCTCTTCTCTCTCCCACCCCCACCAGCTCTACTCTCTCTCTCTCTCCCCCCCCCACCAGCTCTACTCTCTCTTTTTCTCCACCCCCCACCAGCTCTCCTCTCTCTTCTCTCTCCCCTCCTCTAGCAAGTTTGGAATTATTATGGGTTGGGTGGGATCTAGCATAATGGGTCATTGTCAGAGGTGAGAGATAAAAGAAAGTTGGAGGTGAGTCCATGAACATAATCAGGGTTGGGGGGGGGGGGGGGATAACGACCTCTGTGACTTCTCATCACCCTCTCAGTCTGTGACATGTTGTAACATATTTGTGTTGGAGTTTCTTCTCCTAGTAGTGAAGCGGCACTGACAGGTAGATGGTTAGTCTTTAAGAGTTTGTTACTCTGTTTCTGCATAAGCTGTCACTGGAAAAAGGTTTCCCCATCAGAAGACTTTTACCCCCAACTTTTTTCTACTGACAAAGTTACTCAATGCAAAAAAAAAAAAGGCCATACTTTGACTTTAATTTGTTTAATTTTTCTCTTGTTACATTGTTCATATTTGGCACGACAATACTAACATTCTGGATTAAAAAAAAAAAAAAAGTAAAAAATAAAAAGGAATGTGATTTGCTTGTATTTTCCATCACTTGTTTTGTCCCACTACTGAAAAAAATGCTGTGATGCCTCCCAGTGGTTAAAGTCGGTACTGTGCTTATCATCTGGGCCTGTTTTTCTCAATCTATGAACTTAAATTTCAGACAATAATAAAAAGCAGAATTACAACAAGTGCCATATTTCCATAATGATGAAAATGGTGGTGAAGTCCGTCAATGGATCCAGTGCAGGTAATCTGAACCTCCGCAGTTAGGCCATCGGTGGGAAGGGTCTGATTGCCAATGCTGCAGATACTGGGGGTGGCGCATCCTCGAAGAATGAGCTCGCTGGACTCCGTTCCTGGGGTGGATGAAAAATCAGATCAGTAGGGTGAATGACAGACATCCTGTCCAACACAAGTATGGATCGCATGCACCTGTCGTCTGGTACAGCGCGCCCATCAGTGAAGCTATTTTTAATATTTGCTCATCTCAACCAATAATTGTATTTTATTTATTTTTTTTAGTTTCCAGGTATAGCATTTTTTTATTTTTATTTATTTATATAACTTGGCATAGCCACTTAAATCCAATGTAGATCCTTATCAAGGATAAAGGTTGGGGTATACATTTTTTAGGGGATCCCATTTGAAATAAAAGAAAAAGGATATCCAGTGCAAAAAAAAATGTGGGGTCCACAACAAAATCCATACCAAATCCTCATTTGAGCACGTGAGCATGCGGCATAGCTGGCCAGGAAAGGGAGGAGATGAGCATGATGGACAGCGTGGACAATTTTTAAATTTTATTGTCTTTATTTATTTGTTTATTTATTTTGCTTTTTTTGTCATTATCACTGCAGGATGTATTACAGCAAAATTGACAGTTTAGAAAAAAAAAAACATTTTGCTGGGAATTTACATTTCCCTGTCGCCTCCCTAAAGGCCCCCCCAAACTACATACTAGACCCTTAAAGGGTAACCCCACTTTTTGTGTAAAAAAATAAAATAAAAAAATTAAATACAGCTTATACAATATATATTGTTTTTTTGTCATTATCGCTGCAGGATGTATTACGGCAAAATTGACAGTTTAGAAAAAAAAACAAAAAAAACATTTGCTGGGGATTTACATTTTCTTGTTGCCTCCCTAAAGCCCCCCCCCCAAAAAAAAAAAAATCCAACTACATACTAGACCCTTAAAGGGTAACCTCACTTTTCATGTAAAAAATAAATAAATTAGCAAATAAAAAAAATTACAGCTTATATAATATATTTAGTTTTTTGTTATTATTGCTGTAGGATGTATTACAGCAAAATTGAGTTTAGAAAAAACAAAAAATGTGTGATGGGGATTTACATTTCCCTGTCGCCTCCCTAAAGCCCCTCCCCCCCAAAAAAAAACTTACTAGACCCTTAAAGGGTAACCCCACTTTTCGTGTAAAAAATAAATTAGCAAATAAAAAAAAAATACAGCTTATATAATATATTTTGTTTTTTTGTAATTATTGCTGTAGGATGTATTACAACAAAATTGAGTTTAGAAAAAACAAAACAAAAAACGTTTGATGGTGATTTACATTCCTCGTCGCCTCCCTAAAGCCCCCCCCCCCCCCCAACTACATACTAGACCCTTAAAGGGTAACCCCACTTTTTGTGTAAAAAATAAATAAATTACCAAATAAAAAAAAATACAGCTTATACGATATATATTGTTTTTTTGTCATTATTGCTGTAAGATGTATCGCAGCAAAATTGACAGTTTAGGAAAAAAACAAAAACATTTGCTGGGGATTTACATTTTCCTCCTAAAAGCCCCCCCCCCCCCCCCAACTACATACTAGACACTTAAAAGGTAACCCCACTTTTCGTGTAAAAAAAGAAAAAAAAAAAGAGCAAATAAAAAAAAAAATACAGCTTACACAATTGCGACTCAAGTCATATTGCAGTTGAATGTTATTAAAAATTGCCTGCAGTGCTGTAATTTTCTGTAAAATGCAATATGGCTTCCTGGAGGTGTTCTGTATACAGATTGTATGACATGCGTCCCGATGCTGCTGACGTACGACGAGTGTCCCGGATGCTGCTGACGTACGATGGCGCGTCCGGATGCTGCTGACGTACGGCACGCGTGTCCGGATGCTGTTGGCGTACGGCACGGCGTCCGGATGCTGCTGACGTACGGCACGCGTGTCCCGGATGCTGCTGACGTACGATGCGTACGGCTGCTGACGTACGTGCCCGATGCTGCTGGCGTACGACGCAAATGCTGGACGTCCGCGATGCTGCTGGCGTACGGCACGGGTCCCGATGCTGCTGGCGTACGGCACGGGTCCCGATGCTGCTGGCGTACGGCACGGGTCCCGATGCTGCTGGCGTACGGCACGGGTCCCGATGCTGCTGGCGTACGGCACGGGTCCCGATGCTGCTGGCGTACGGCACGGGTCCCGATGCTGATGGCGTACGGCACGGGTCCCGATGCTGATGGCGTACGGTACGGGTCCCGATGCTGATGGCGTACGGCACGGGTCCCTATGCTGCTGGCTATGCTGCTGGCGTACGGAACGGGTCCCGATACTGCTGACGTACAACATGCATCCCGATGCTGCTGGTGTACGGGACGGGTCCCGATCAGGGGCGGACTGACCATTTTGAAACTTGGGCACTGCCCGAGGGCCTA